GAGCGTCCCTCCGTGCTGGGCTTGTTGAGCTGCTGCAACAGGGCAGGCCACAGGCATTTTACACGGCAGAAATCAAAGGGGGGCATTAACCTCCACTCTGACCTATCATACAGCTGTTTGTTCCTCCTGTCTCCTCATGCCAGAGCATTAGTGAGGCCACACAATGAAGAAGATCTGGATTAATTTTTAAGCAAAGAGAATAAAACTATACATAGCATAATGGAGAATAAAACCATATATAGTGTGTATATATATAAAACTATATATAGTATATCTAAAACTATATGACATATAGTTTTATTATAATGCACTATAATGTATGGTTTTAGTAAAATGTACTTTTAACCCAGACCCATCCACCCTGCAGTTACAAACAAACAGACAAAAATCCCCACCAAAAAAAAAAAAAAAAAACCAAAAAACAAACAAACCAAAAAAACCCAAAACAAACGCTTCTGCCAACATTACTGGCAGTGGCAAGGACAAGTGTCCATGGAGAGGACAGGATCACAGCCTTCTCCAGCAGCACCCACACACATTGAAACTCAGCTTGCAGCGCACATCTGCAGGCACCAGGCTTCCAGCCACTTCAGATTGCCTCTGAGAGGGAGACTGCAGAGCAGGAGGGCTGGGGGCTGCCTGGGGAAAGCAAGCTGGGACCATGATGGAAATACTGATGGGAGGCAGGGTACCCTCGGTTTATACGATAGCCTCGGTGTCAGGCTAGGCTAGTAATCTATAGACCACATAGGTGAATGCATCCATGCAATAGCTGAGTAAAGGAACTACAGAAAGGTCATCCTCCATAGAAGAAAAGGACAACAGTCAGATTGAGGAAGATAGCATAATCTTTATTATGGTTTTTATATTAACTTTCTAAGTTGGCCAAGAGAGTTGAGGCACAACTTGCTAAGGACATGGGAAGTTGAATTATGTGATCGTGGAGTGTCAGCAGCACTAAAGTAGCAATAAAAAACTGAAGCTCCCTGACATAAGCACTGACACAAAGAAGTTAATGGAGGTTCCCACACTAAAGACTCTTGCTTTGGGAGAAAAGTGGCTTTAATAATTAAGACATAATGTCTTAAGTATGTTCTTCGCTGAAGAACCAGTGAAGTATGAAGTGTCAGAAGAAGTCCTGTTCTTCCTCTTCTTTTCCAGAAGGACAACCCACGGACCAAAACAGTATCTGTGAATGAAGTGGTATTCAGCCCCTGCTTTACAAAGGACCTTGCACTACTGAGCAAGCCTGGGTATTTACCCAACTGCCAAAATCAGACAGATGAGAAAAATGGAGGAAGAGGAAATGGAGGAGGAGGAACCCAAATTGCAGCAGGCTAGCTTGGCTGCCTGATGTGCCAGGCTGACGAACAGACAGACTGACTCACTGCATCCAGTGCTGTAGGAGGAAGGAACAAAATTGTGTTTATTAAGGAAAACAGGCTTCCCAGGTCTAATAGCATACTTTGAGGGACCAAAGAGAATGCACAATAATCCTTTTCTTTGTTACAGACATGGATTTCCAGAAGAAAACAAAAAAGTTAAACTGTTAGAGTATAAGATGACCTTTAAAGATCTCTCTTAACCACGTAGTAAGGATAGCAATAAGTTAATCAGCTTTCCAGGGTGGTGGGAAGTTATTAGATGGCATCTGAATTCCTGATGCCCAAGATATTGTTCTGCTTGGGGAAAGGTATGGTGATTAAGGTTTTTGGTGATACAGAACTATTGACGATAGCCAAAAGTTTATAGTTGGAGAGGACAGGCAGGAAGATTTAACTATTCCAGTGGGTAGAAATGACAGATGAAGGTTAATGTCAATAGCACAAAGTAAGACACATAGGGAGAGAAACAACCACAGCTCTATGTTCCAGGGACATCCCCTGCACACTGTCACTGATGGCTTTCATATAGCTTTTATATATAGTCACATGCTTGCTAAATGTCAAGTTGGTGCCCCTTGAATGAGAGGTAAAAAGTTACAACTATTCTGAAAGCAATTAGGAACAAATACCACCATAATGTCTCCACGTCTTCACTGACACATACTTCTAACTCCTGTTCACAAACAGGAGTATAATACAGAGAAGATCAGGAAAGATGATTAGGAATATCAACAACCTTGGTAAGCAGCAATTAAAATTAGAACCTTCCCACCCCCAGAAGGACTTACAGTGGGGAAAAGTATTAGAAACATGAAGTTATGAAAAGGTGAGGGAGAGAGGACCACTCAGTTCCTCCAGGGGCACGTCCATCCTGCTGATCAGGCAGCAAGTGGAAGACTAAAGGAAAGGTTTATCCACACCACAGTTCAGCTCTGCCACTTAGCTACACTGACTATTAGATCCTAAGGATAGAAATGGATTCAGAAAAGGTTTAGACAAAGCCCTGGAATAAAGGTCAAACAGTAGCTACTAAAATAATGATCCAAATGTACAAAAATATACATATATTCTACTGCATATACAAAATCTCTGCTACCAACCATTATCAGAAGTAAGATATTAGATTAGACAAGACTTTGAGCTAAAGGCACCCTTGTGTTTGCCAGAAAGTATCATTTACTACTGTGTGCCAATCCTCCCTGTTTTCACAGTCATATGCACACAAAGCATCTACATCTAATCTGGCATGAAGAGAAATCAGTCCTAAACTACACACACGCATGCTCACACATACACGCACCAAGTATTCTCTGCTGCAGACCAGGCCAAAACTCAGACTTAGGCACACTTGGCCCAGGAAGTTAATTCTAAGCCTCGACTAAAGGTTTGCATAATCACAGCTCATTTTAAGCTAGTTTCTCAGGGTTACATACAGAAATATCCTTTGCTAAAAAGTATCAGTTGTCAAAAATAGTGCATCCAATTGCTTCATTTCCACATTCATCTCAGTCTAAGGAGCACACACCAATGCTCCTTCAGCACACACAAACATCCTTCTACTTCTGCAGAAAACTCAGGGCATTGAAACAGACAAACAGAACTCCAATGCAGCAGCCGGAGCTAGTCCGTTAGCTTTCTTTTGCCAGCTTGCATAGTCTCTTAACCCTTGAATAAGGACCGATAGTGTCATCAAAAACAAAGTCCCACAGAACTCGAATCCAGGACTGGTGATGTGGGAGGTTATCATAATATTCTGCTGCAATCTTCTTCACCTGGAAGAAGAAGAGAGAGAATGAGCTGTTTAGCTGCACAGTGTCGGGTGTGTTCAGCCTTCCCATTCAGATCTGATAGCAGAGCCATAACCTAAGTTACTTGTTATTGCTTGTGAGCTTCTGAAGTTCAGCCAAATGAGATGTACTTAAATACATTTAGATACTTCTTAGCAGATTTCTGATGTAAGTTTTGCCTGACAGTGTCAGAATTTGAAAGATGATGGATCTCTGCCTTCAGTCAGAACTATTTTCTTTCATTTGGAAGGTAGAGGGATCCCCACAATGAGATGACATTCTCCACAATGAGATGACTAATCCATTAATCCAGTTTATAAATTGCCAAGACACCAACACATGGTATTTAAAGCTCTGTTCACCACTCATAATACTTGTCTGCTGAGGATTCTGGGTAGGAGAGACATACCAGTAGAGAAAATGCCAGACACAGCCTTGCCTACTCTACGGTTTCTTTCCTCTGTTCTGCTACCGTGATGCAAATCCGAGACAGGTTCTTCCAGCAGGCAGAGGAGATCGCAGGGGCGGTCTGTTCTCCTCAGTCTGGTGTTAAAAGTGCTGCACGATTCATTATTAGATCACGAGTCTAATAAAACTTCATCCCTGTTACAAATCCCCAAGTCTTATGACTGCTGTCACCAGAGAAGCACTGGATATCATTGCGGGTGGCTTGTAAGGACAGAACCAGAGGACAAAGAGGTTTCAAGCCTGTCAGGTTCAGGGGACTATGAGGATTTCTGAGTTATCAGTGGTCCCTGCTCCAGCTAGATGCTCTGGGTTTTGAACACACTTATGAAGCAGCAGAGTCTGTTAACTATTGTACACCTGCACTTAAGCTGCTTGGGCATGGTTTTATTACAGCTCCACCTCCTAGGCAAACAACGCTATTCTAGAGTTTGTCTTGCAGGACAGCATGGCTTCTCTCTTTAAAAACCCTGCAGAATTTTAAAGCCAGCTATGCTGAGCACAGTAAGGGCTTCCAGTGAAGGTCAAAAGGGTTACACACAAATTGTCATCCAGGAGGACGGTCTCATCAGCATCCAAGGTGTAATGGTGGAATCTTAACAGAGCATTTTGACTGTTTGTGAACACGTAAGAATCCCAGCAAAAGTTAAATTATAAGCCAGCACTGCTCACTGCTAGTTATTTCATTAATTCAGCTTCCTAGCAGACACTTCCCTGTGAGGTAGGTTGAGTAACTTACAAGTTCTGTTAAGATCTTTTACCTCTGTGCCTCTGCCCCTGTGCACTGTGTGTTTATGGCACGGTAGTGCCGTGTTGGAGGTGGAGGATTCACTTCAGGTCTGATTGTATTCTGCCTTTCACTGAATACCTCTGACTTCCTAATAATTGCCTATATCCTGCTTTAAAGGCCTGTACTTCAAATGTGGTTCCTTTTCAATGGGATTCAGGCAATATCGGCATTTCCCCTTGGAGGTATTTGTTAATGACCAGAAGAAGAGTGATTTCCAGGCACTGGGTAAGATCTCTGGAGATGCAGATTGAGTTCCCTGCACTCCTTCTGTAACCACAGTCAGAAATAATTTAATCTGGGTTTTGCATCCTCCCTTTTCCCATCTGGGTCATTGAAATAGTCAAAGGATAAGAGAAAGGACTATTTAGACAGTAAACTCCCATGACTCCCTTGAATGAAAGCCACTAACAAGGTCTTATGCAGACACAAAGGGGGGGCTCAGATCCCCAGCCCCAGAAGCTTCACTCCAGCTCTGAGGTGGTCACTCCCTAGCACAGGGAATGCACAAACATTCCCTCCTCACCTCCATTTTAGACGTTCTTTGTGAATTATGACTTGCAGCAGTATTTCAATCCTCATCTATACTAGCCAAGTGTATATGGCAAGTCTACCATTGCCCTCTTCTTCAGAATTCCATATATTTCTTGTCCACAGACACAGTGATCTGAACCAGACATGTTTTCTCATCTGCTTACATTATTCTGCAGAGCTCTTGATCATGTTGGACTCTGACCACTACAAGGGCTTCAGAAAGTCATTCTGTATTGCCCCTTGCACATAGAAATGGAGGGCTGGAGGATCACAAACACCAATTCAGTTCCTAGGAACAATGCCTCAGGCAGCGGCTGTGCCCTCTGGCACCAAAGGCTAACTAAAAATGACCCCACTTGTACCGCTGGCAAGGTCCCTGTGCTCTGGGCAGGACAACCATATAGGATGTACAAAAACAATGGAGAGAAGGTAAGCTGCAATAAAATATTTGTGACAAAGGAATGGGGAAAAGGCAAAATTTAATGAATGCAGTTAGAGGGTTTTCTTATGGAAAAGACAGGAAGTTTGTTAGGTGCATGTTCCCATTTTGCTATCACATGGCAGGAGAGAATTTTAAAAGTGTTTTGTCGTTTACAAGGGATTAACACAAAAATGTTTCCTTACAATAGGTCAGGTGGTTTTGTCATGTGTTTCAGCATCTCCATATTTAAACCTCCTTACCTACCAGAACATTTGAGGAAAACGCGCTCCTGACCTTGCCCTCGAGCTCTCCATATTGCATTGGAGATGGTCCATTTGCTTCAATTCTTCCCTCTCTGTCTCCTTACAGATTTGAACTGTAAGTCTTAACTCATTGCTGGTTTGTGAATGAAAGTTATCAAAGAAGGATAACAAGAGATCACAAAGTCAGCAAGAAGCTTATTAGGCACTTGGCACCTGGTGTATTGAAGCTTTTCTGCAAGTAGATCAAGGTGGTAGGTAAGAAATCACATATTTTAGACTGAAACTTTGCTCCTGGTTTTGTGCTTGTAGAGCAGCAACAATCCTGCTCCATAGTAGCAGATAGGCACAAAAGGTAAATGCAACCTAATATTCCACCATGGCTGTTATAGACCCTTTGTCCTGGAGCTACACAGGAGCTAGAGATCCTTGTGACAAGAAGCTGAAAAATAATGTTCAGAATGCTAGAAGGCATATTACAGAAGTTCCCTATAGTCCTTGACCAGGGGCAGGAGGGAGAGCACTCAAGCTAGCCCTCCTGGCCATCACAGGGTTAATGAAATCTGCAATTCAAAACCAGCCCATCTACCATGTTTTCCAGTCTTGTCTGTCTAATAAATCTGGTTTCATACCATGTCTTTTCCTTTCCCCACAAGCTTAATGAGTAACTAGTTTGCCTCTGGTAAGTTTGCAGATTTTATTGCAGTTTGTAGGAAGAGTACTGAGTTTCTCCTTGTTCTCCTGTCCCCTCTCTCCATAGGTATACTCAATCCTTCAGATAATGAAGAATGGATCTTTTTACTCATTTGGTAATCAATACAATATCTTACAGTTATAAAACTTCATTCAAAGACTGATCTAGTCATAAGTCTATAGGGGTTTTTTTAGATCAGGTCCTTCATTATAATGCTAAATTTCATGGTCTCTTGTGTAATATCTCATTATACTAGTGGGACAAGTTATTACTGCACCTCATGTCACTCGTCTTTATTATCTATAAGCTTACAGCGCAGCCTAATTCTTCCTCTTTCAAATCTGTCACACTCCTAGGGTAAAGGTCTTTCCAGTGGCAAACACATTACTCAGAACATTCTGAATGAGACACCTTTAACAAAGGACAAAGCTGAATTTACTTTTCTGATAAGCAAGTGGAAGAGCCAGTTACTTTCCAAGATTAAGATCCAGTTATTCTCTGATCCTATTTCTCCCCTACTCTCAATCATGTAGGAACCAAATAAAGATCTTTATTCCACTTTCCACTTGCCAATAATTAAAGATAAAAGTAGCTATACTGAGAGGTCATCCATATTACACATTTCAACTGTTAGCAGTTCAAGTGCCTAGGAGACTAGATCTGAAAACACTAGACCTTTGCTGAGTGAAGAATTTGCTGGGAGGTTAAGCAGGGGAGAGCAAGGGGAGGTTTCTAGCCCTACCTGTTATGAAGTTCAAACATTAAAGCTGTCCAGAGAGGATCTGTCCACTTATCTGCTTCCACCAAAGACGCAGAGAATTTTTCTTCTCAATTTGCATTAGAGAATTACCAACTTGTTTTAACGGACAAAGGATTTTCTATAGTAACTGTTTTGCCGAAGGATTTTCACTTTATAATAGCTTTTCACTTGTAAATGATCACTCGTCAAAGACTCCCAGTTTTCCATATAGTTCTGTCAGACAACAACGATTGACAAGCCTGATACCTCCTCCACCAGCAGGGCAAGTCCCAACTGCCCAAGAGCTAGAAACACATGAACATGAGCCCATGATATTCAACTAATAACTCTATCCTCCTTACACAGGAGGGCAGACACTTCCAGCTGCTGCACTGCCTCGAGGAATGAGGCTGAACTATTTGTGGTGTGGGTGGGGAAGAGCTTTTCAGGTCTCAATCAGGTCTGGAGCAACAGTCCCAGCAAGTTCAATTAGTCACTTACCTCCCTTGTGTAAGATAGAGAGCTAACCTCCTTTTCTTCTATTTACATTTCAGTAATCTAAGTATCTAAGCCTATCTAACAAGTTTGAACATTTGAAGCTGAAGCTAAGCTCATACACTTCCCAGCTGAGCTATCAGGTGTATCAGCAATGGGAGTGCCTGACAGGAGAACTTCACAGGTGAACATGGGCTACTTTACCAGCTGCTCTGAACCCCACCAGGAACGGCCAGCTTCTCCAGGACAGACCTCCAGCAGCGAAGGAGGTCTGTTAAAAGAGGACTGCAGGTGATACAGAGACTCCCCACACTCTTCTATACCCCAAGAAAGTCTCCTCTTGTTTTGAATCTCCTTTCAGTCATTGTTTCTCTCATGAAGAACATTAACCCATAAAGCAGGGTTTGCTTGGATATATCGTAAAAGTTGTACATGTCATGCAGTAGTAGGGAGGTCACAGCTCCTGAACCTCAACCTCCTCAGCCCTACCTCCACCTCGTGAGGGTGTACAGTAGCAGCCCCCAACTTTGCATCAGACAAGAGAGAGAAGATGTTTTCTTCCTATTATGCCAGAGGATTTGTATGCAGGAGGAATACTGCGCAGTCATGTACCTCTAACACTGTGAGCACCTGCTGAGGAACCCTTGTATTAAAACCCAGAAGAGCAGCTACATACCTGGAGGGAGATTCAAAATCATTCCTAGACACCTGGGCTTTGCAAATTTGATTCCCACAACTGATAAACTGTAAACAAAAAGGGACTTGACTTTCAAAAGAGGAAAGCCGCAGCACTTTACCAACGACAGATGAGGCATCCTCATTTTCTGTGGGTGGGGCAGCAGAGCTAAAACAAGTCATGTAGAGCGGGTCTTTATTTTCTAGTGCTATTTGTGTCAGGCTGGAACATGCCCTGACATTTATGTCATCTCAAACAATAGAAATACTTTCGTTTGATGTTAATCAAGCAATATAGTTAGCAGATTGATCATTAGACAAATTTCAAGTAGAAATTGCCACCTGTCTCATTTTAGATGGGCCTTTAAAATTTCAAAGAGCCAAAGCCTAGTGGCTAAGTGAAGGAAGGGGAGAAATTTAGAGCATTGTTGGAGGATTTTATCATGCAAAAAGTGTTACTCAAGCCCTCTGAGTCTCAGAAGTTCTTTCCTTCAAATAAACTAAATGCTACAGTAGTTTGGCAGCCATTTCTCTCAATATCCTGCTTAAAAAAGGAATTAGAAACAAATCCAAAAAGCTTTCTTCTTCTTTCTTTTCTTTTTTTTTTTTCTTTTTAAAATTGATCCTTTGCTATGATTTAGAGTGATTTCTTTGAGACAGTTTAACAGCTTTTATAAAAATTCAATTCACTCGGCTCATGCCATACCTACCATTGGCAATCTGCATCCGGGAATGCTGGGGAAGTCATGGTGCTCCATGTGGTAGCCTACATTAAAGGTGAGGCAGTTCAGAGGTCCATAATAAGAGTATGTCTCATACCCTTTTAAGAACATGTAGTGTTCTGCTATGAAGTGCCCAGAAATGGGATGTACACCCATACAAAGAATTGTACCTGCTATTAAGTAAACAATAGGTTTGAGCCCCCAAAGGTAGTAAATGATAAGGTCTATAGAAAACTGGACAAGAGCGTTAAAAATTTCCATCCGTGTAATTGCTTTGGGGTTCACATACAGTGGTCTCAGACTGTAGAACAGAGGTTGGAGGAAAAGCCAAAGCAGTTTCCGAAGTGGCGTACAGAAGAACCAGCCTTCAAAGTCTGTGGGAATGTCCACATCGAGGTTGTCCCCACCAAGGTACCGATGATGGTCAATGTGGTACTTCTTGAAGGAGGCAGAGTAAGGGATGCCAATTGGTAAGTTGGCAAAGACTGCAAACCATCGGTTCCACTTGACCTGCTTGTTCCCAAAGGCAACGTTGTGTGAAATATCATGGATGGCTAGGGTCAGCGAATGGTTGATGCAACCCCCAAAAGCATAAGCCCAGAAGAAAATCCATTTCCAGGATAAGTCTTTCACCAGGTAGCATGCTAGAAACTGCATAAAAACCATTCCAGATACAACCCACTTTAAATGTGGATCTGGTCCCATCAGAGCCTTGATCTCTGGATACTTTGCTAAAGGGAAAAATGCAGAGAAAACCTCATTAGATCACAGCTAAGTAAAAATAATCACCACTGGCACTCTATTTTTATAACTGTGTGTTTGAGGCCCTAGTTTTATAAAATGGCAATACCAGAGCCGGGTTGCCACTGCACTGAAAGCTTTACTAACGTATGAGCTCCATTCCCACTGCCAGCATCACGTCCAATTGTGGGAGAGATCTCTTTTTACTATATAAAGAACATATAAATATATAT